CCAGGCCTTGCAGCATCGCTGGCAAAAGTGTGTAAACCTGGAAGGGGACTATGTGGAGAAATAAATGAAAACCATCGACTTGGTACGGGTCTTTCACAGTTAGGCTTAGAACTTTTCAGCCAGCCCTCGTATGTTAAGGGTAAAGGTTTCTTAAACATACTTCTGCAAAAATGTATATGTGCTCTTAAGCATGAGCTTCATGGTGCATACAAAGATGGCAGTTGGTGTAAGTGTATTTCATGTATGTAAGTGCTCTGGAGCTGTAGTTTGGTGAAACCACCAGTGGCAGAGGCAGTTTGTGTGTGACTAGCTAAATGATCATTGAGTTCACTGGCTCTCTAGTTTCGTGTTTGTGTTTATGTACAACCTACCTGGGCAAGCTTTCTGTTGTAAACATCAGGACCAGAAGCTCTTGTCACAATCTGCTGAACATTGGTAACACTGCAGGGAATATTGTTTCATACAGTTTTGGATGGTGGCTTATAGTGCCTACAAAAGTCTTTCTTCTTGATGAGAGGAGAGCTGTAGCAGGTGAGCTACACTGTGATGGTCCATCTGGCTCACTTCCACACAGCCATTATGAGGTTTGGACAGCAGTCAGACTCTTGGCACAATCTCTTCCAACAAGTTTCTAAAAACATGCTTTAACAAGAGAAAAATGCCAAAGAAATGTAAGCAATGATGTTATTCGTTTCCTCTCCAATGTTTTACATGTGTAACAGAATGGTTCTATATATATTCATGTGAGGGTATGATTTTACTTACTTCAGGGAGGAAAGAAGAGTAGTAGAGAGCCTTCTGAATAAAGATCAGCCAACCACTACAGTCTATGTAATCTATGTAATGGTTACATTACTTGCTTGTATAGCTGACCTAGAGGCATGCCTACAATATGCTTCTAAGATGGCCACATTTATGGCCGTGGAGCACTTTCTCTGTTGAGAGAGGGGGTCACCAAAGGCTAAGGTTTGGATGGTATCTGTCTAATAAGGGCTTGGTCAGCTACAGGTAATGATTTCTCACCATTACATTTGAAAACTCTAAGGTTTGGATTGTATCTGTCTAATAAGGGGGCGGTCGGGTAGCCTAGTGGTTAAAGCGTTCGCTCGTCACGCCGAAGACCCGGGTTCGATTCCCGACATGGGTACAATGTGTGAAACCCATTTCTGGTGTCCCCCGCCGTGATATTGCTCGAATATTGCTAAAAGCGGCGTAAAACCATATTCAGTCAGTCAGTCTAATAAGGGCTTGGTCAGCTACAGGTAATGATTTCTCACCATTACATTTGAAAACTCTAAGGTTTGGATAAAGGGCCAGAACTAACGTGAAATTGATGAAATCCCTGTGTGTGTACTTAAAGAAATATTGAGGAAGTCTGTGTGTCATTGTACGTTGGTGTTGCAGATCTCTCTTCCCTGGACTGACCTCCACTTTACAGTTGGTCAGATAAAGATAGCTCGCTCGCTCACTCACTCACTCACTCACTCACTCACTCACTCACTCACTCACTCACTCACTCATATCTATGTGTGTATGATATATAGTTACCTGACCTTTTCTAGAACCAGTGCAAGAGCAAACCATCAGAGAGTTCAAATCTATTTTTTCTCATTTATTTGCTATTTTCCAGTATTTATCCTGCAGTGCAGTTTTAGTTTCCATATTTAGCTTTCCATGCATGTATTTTGGTCTTTGGTGAATTGGTTTCTTCCAAAAGTTGTCTAGGTATTCAATGTTTGCTAAAGAAAACCACTGAAACAGTTCAGGACATGACTTGGAAAAAAAATACCTTTAAAGCTGCAGAATGAATTCTGTAATGCATGCTTCTGGTAAACTTCTGGTATTTGAGAGGGTATATTTTTACATGAGACTGCACACAGCAAGAGATGTTGGACCTCACTGTTGAAGTCGGCCAGCAAATGCAAAGTCTAAGTGGGGCTGGATAACTTGGACAGTAACATGCCCAAACAAACATATTCCCCATCACAACACGTCACAGACCCAGTTTAACAGTTATTTTTCAAGTTGAGTGTTTGGCTGCAACTTGTAGTGTAATTCTCGTGCTCTTCCCAAGTTGGGGAGATTAAACGAGGTTAAGTTATAAGGATGCTTCTGAACTTGGAAGCTGGGAAGCTGTATTGCATCCCATTGCTGTCTTATTCCTAGCTGATGTAACTGGTCGTGGATGGGCATCTTTCTTTGGACATTGGGGACATTTTCTTAATCAGATGTGTTGTTTTTGGGAAGGTAATTGTTTGTGGGAGATGTAAAAACTTGATTAATTTTTTTCAACCATCAAATTTGTTTTTGAAGTGGCAACTTTTGATGTTTTCAACCAAATTATTTTAAATTTCTACAGTATATGTTGTTTTATGAAATGTGTACCGATACATGACTCAATTTGATTGGGAACAAAACTCTGAGGATCAAGTGATATTGTGGAATCCATGGAGTGATGATTGGACGACAAAAGCTACACTAAGGTTTGGTATTTCTAATCAGGACATTGTTCCAAGACTGTTTACTTTCATTCAAAATACTGTTCTGTGTATAGTTTTGTTGGAAAACTTGAAACTGATTTGAAAACAAACTCTTCATCTTACACCAATTCAGTAATCCTTGAAACTATTAAGTCATCTGATTGTATCCCCAAGTTTCATGCAAAATTTTTGCCTATGATAGTTGGACTGTCAAGGATTTGTCTTCACTTTTATTTATGACTTAATAACATATATATATAGAAATATTTTGTGAATGTATCTTTACTTTTCAATCTTCTAAGAAGAAACCTTGTGCAAATAATGTGTAGTTTCTTGCCCTGAGAGTGCAGTAATGTGGCTGACATCTGTAAAAAAGAAACTTATTTCATATTTGTTCCATATATGTGAGATGTTTTAGGCAGTACTATATGTGAATATACCTATGAAGTGGTTTACAGTAATATTACACCCAGATTTAAGATTTTCATATGAATAGAAGTACTTGTAATTAAAGGGCAAGTTCACACGGAAATGAACCTAATTTTCTTGTACTTTTTCCACAATAAAAGTGTTAACCTAGAAGTGTCATAGACAAAAATATAAAAATATCACAATTAATTAACATATGTTTCGCATTAAAACGATTTATATTTTTCACATTTACCAAGTGTTCTATTTCCATAACAAAAACACCATGGCTTATGCCCCTTGCAATATGACGTCATTGGTGCCAATTGATAAACATTATGACGTCATCATGCTTTGTTAGAGCCGCTTCACGTGGTGTAGGTACAGGTGTGTGATTCTAGCGTCTCAGATGCCAGCCAGCATAGTGTTATGCTGAGTCACCACTGCGCCGGAGTGTGTCGTAGGCCATGTTGTTTTACCGAAAACTTGTACTTGATATCTTTTGCGTTGAGAATAGACAGGGACCCAGTTGAATTGGCACCAATTACGTCATAATCTAAGGGGGATAACTCAGGCCTGTTTAGCTCGAAAAACGAAGGACTCATAACGGCATATCATTTTCACACTATTGTGAGCTTCCTACTTTCACTGTGAAACAATGAGTGCATATTTTCAAACACAGATACTAACTAATTCTAAAATTGCGTTTTGTTCAGAAAAAGAAAGAAAGTAACTTTTGCGTGTACACTTCCCCTTTAAGTCTGTCATTTGTATTTAAGGTGTTCAATTTGTTGAAAACACTGGTGAAAAGAAGAGCAATCAGAACCCATAGTTCAAACCCAGATTCAACAAAGATTAACACCAAGTTTAGATGTTGTGTACCTTTATTATTGCCGGATAGGGAGACTTATTCCAGACTAGCAGATTTTGACTGTTTGCATGCCTGTTGACATGTGACATATTTCTTCAGTGTGCACTCCCCTGGACATCTTTAACAGCATCACTTCTCTGGTGGGGGGAACATTGTTTGTAATCTTGATTCTGAGCAGCCTCCACCAGCAAAGCTCAGTTATATATGATGGCCAACAGAGAGAGACAGCTTACACAGAACTGAATGTGAAGTACATTATTTAGTCCAGTTTAGGAAACGCCCCATTTGGGCCACACATATAAGAAATTTATTATTTGGTATCGCTTGGATTTCACAGGATGTTGGTGACCCAAAGCTATTTATTACCCAGCTTAAAAAAAGAGTGTACAACTGTTTGCAAGAATGGCATGCCTCCTGAGATTCAAATGTGTTAATTTTTTATAAGACTCAGAAATCATTGTTAGATCGTGAAAGATATTTGTCTCTTCAAATGCCCTGGGAGTACAAACATCTATTAACAAAGTTTAGAATTGGCTGTAATTCTTTTGGTGTACAGCATCTACGTGGCGGTTTATCAACAATTACCAATGAAAATGTTCTGTGTGAACACTGCAATGCAATTGAAGATGAAATTCATGTTGTATATGTCTGTAAACATTATGAAGATGAGCATAAACTATTATTATCTAAATTGTCAAATAAGCAGTATCATTCACTTAAAAGCCTATGAACTTCATAAGATATTAATGTGTTATTGCCATTTACCAAGTTCTTAACACGACTTTTTAAGACGTGTACCTCTAATAAGTAATTTTGTTAATTTGAGTCTGTATGTCTTCATGTGGTACCTCAAATTATGCAGTAAAAAGTTTTGTAGTTTAGGTCATGTGGCCTTTAATGCAAATAAACTTGTCTGTCTGTTTCCCTGGCTGAATTATCAAATTACAGGTGAACATGTAAACATGTGTCATTATTGCATTGTTCCAAGTGTGTGAAAGTTGATGTCCTTGTATCAATTATAGTACCTTCAAAAGTCCTAGAATTCTATTCTTAGTCTATACAATCTTGGATTTACATGAAATGTTTCTATTGCAAAGGGGTGGCCATTATACCAAGTCCTGATTCCTACAAAAGTTTACAGATCATCTGATGACCCAGATTATTAGTTATTATAATTTGTCTCATGATGGATGTTTTTGTGACTTGTAGAGTATGTCCTCAATGTCTGTCTTGTGTTGCAGAGTTATGAGTGGGCCCTTGAGGCTATGAAGTACGTCGCCAGCATGAGGATGGAACACTGTGCAAGTCCTGATGGTCTGGACAAGCTGCTGAAGTCTCTGGATGCCTATCTGAAGGAACATCCACCTCTCACAGAAGATGCCTTCCTGCAGATGATCAACACAGCTCAGAAGCTGCACAATGACAAGCTACTGGAACAGTGCCGAGTAGCAAAAGCTCGGTGTGAGGAGACATACCAGTTGTTACTTCTACGTCAGAACACTCTTAAACGTGCCAAGGACCAACTAGTGATAGAACAGGCTGTGAAAAGCTCATCACCAAAATCTGTGCTGAAACAGCTGGAGGACAATTCCCCTGTATGGGAGCCACAAACGACAAGCACACCTTATCGGAGTTCTGCGCCCAGTCATCGGGTGCATGTGCTAGATAGACGGTCAGAATCTTCCAATGGTTGTAATGTGTCCCTGTCTTCATCAAGGAATAGAACATTAGACTCTGATAGTGAATCCAGAGACAAGAGTGTTCATAGTGCCAGAAATAGTGAGACTAGTGCCAGTCTACCCGTGTCTCCCACGTCTGACCACAGCAGTTCAGACAGTGGAAGTGTATCTGACTCCAAACTGCTGCTGTGCCGAACAATCTCCCAACCCCTCCAGGGGCCAGGCTCCACCTTCAGCTCACACAATCGTCCAATCAAGAAGATGCTGAAGCGTGCAAGCACTGCCCCAAATATCCCTCCTCCAATCAACTCCACAATTTACGAAGATGCAGAGCACAACGCAATCCGAGACCGACGGTCTGGCAAATCAATCAGCATGATCACCGGCAGCTCTGAAAGTCTACCCAGGTAGGGGACATGTTGTTATCCCCCGCCCCAACAAAGTTGGCGGGGGATATAGAAATGGGTTCCGTGTGCGTGCGTGCGTGCGTGCGTGCGTGCGTGCGTGCGTGCGTGCGTGCGTGCGTGCGTGCGTGCGTGCGTGCGTGCGTGCGTGCGTGCGTGCGTGCGTGCGTGCGTGCGTGCGTGCGTGCGTGCGTGCGTGCGTGCGTGCGTGCGTGCGTGCGTGCGTGCGTGCGTGCGTGCGTGCGTGCGTGCGTGCGTGCGTGCGTGCGTGCGTGCGTGCGTGCGTGCGTGCGTGCGTGCGTGCGTGCGTGCGTGCGTGCGTGCGTGCGTGCGTGCGTGCGTGCGTGCGTGCGTGCGTGCGTGCGTGCGTGCGTGCGTGCGTGCGTGCGTGCGTGCGTGCGTGCGTGCGTGCGTGCGTGCGTGCGTGCGCGTGCCGAAATCGTTTCCGGAGCATAACTCAGAAACCTTTAAATATTTCTCTACGAAACTTTGCATGTCTATCAGACTCATACTGAACTGGTGCCTTTTGCTATTTAGGAATTTTATAAAAAAATTATTTTTTACTCTTCGATGGCAACAAGTTAGACTTAGGTTCTATAAGGGTGCTGTTCGTTTCCGGAGTGTAACTCAAAAACCATTAAATACTTTCTTACAAAACTTTGCATGTTTACCAGACACATACTGAACTGGTGCCTTTTGCTATTTAGGAGTTTTATAAATTTTTATGTTTTTCGTTTCCATGGCAACAAGTTGGACTTAGGTTCTATGAGGGTGCTGTTCGTTTCCGGAGTGTAACTCAAAAACCATTAAATACTTTCTTACAAAACTTTCAGTTCACAAGCACAAATAACTAGAGAAACTAGTGATGTTTTAGTTCTTAAACACTTAAGTCTTTAAATATACAGAAAGATGTTCTCTTTTTGACTGCATAGTACAATTCATTCAACTGATGAAAAGTGTTTTCTGCACTGAGATGGGTGGTATTAAGTACAGACTGAGATAGGTGGTATTAGGTACAGACTGAGATGGGTGGTATTAAGTACAGACTGAGATGGGATGGTATAAAGTACATACTGAGATGGGTGATATTAAGTACAGACTGAGATAGGATGGTATTAAATACGGACTGAGATAGGATGGTATTAAGTACAGACTGAGATGGGATGGTATTAAGTACAGACTGAGATAGGTGGTATTAAGTACAGACTGAGATGGGATGGTATTAAGTACAGGCTGAGATGGGTGGTATTAAGTACAGCCTGAGATGGGTGGTATTAAGTACAGACTAAGATGGGATGGTATTAAGTACAGACTGAGATAGGATTGTATTAAGTACAGACTGAGATGGGTGGTATTAAGTACAGACTGAGATGGGTAGTATTAAGTACAGACAGATGGGTGGTAGTAAGTACAGACTGAGATGGGTGGTAGTAAGTACAGACTGAGATGGGTGATATTAAGTACAGACTGAGATGGGATGGTATTTAGTACATACTGAGATGGGTGATATTAAGTACAGACTAAGATGGGTGATATTAAGTACAGACTGAGATGGGATGGTATTAAGTACAGACTGAGATAGGATGGTATTAAGTACAGGCTGAGATGGGTGGTATTAAGTACATACTGAGATGGGATGGTATTAATTACAGACTGAGATGGGATGGTATTAAGTACGGACTGAGATAGGATGGTATTAAGTACAGACTGAGATGGGTGATATTAAGTACAGACTAAGATGGGATGGTATTAAATACAGACTGAGATGGGATGGTATTAAGTACATACTGAGATAGGTGGTATTAAGTACAGACTGAGATGGGATGGTATTAAGTATAATCCAAGACAGGGTGGTATTAAGTACAGCCTGAGATGGGTGGTATTAAGTACAGACTAAGATGGGATGGTATTAAGTACAGACTGAGATAGGATTGTATTAAGTACAGACTGAGATGGGTAGTATTAAGTACAGACAGATGGGTGGTAGTAAGTACAGACTGATATGGGCGATATTAAGTACAGACTGAGATGGGATGGTATTAAGTACAGACTGAGATAGGATGGTATTAAGTACAGACTGAGATAGGTGGTATTAAGTACAGACTGAGTTGGGATGGTATTAAGTACATACTGAGATGGGTGATATTAAGTACAGACTAAGATGGGTGATATTAAGTACAGACTGAGATGGGATGGTATTAAGTACTGACTTAGATAGGATGGTATTAAGTACAGACTGAGATGGGATGGTATTAAGTACAGACTGAGATAGGTGGTATTAAGTACAGACTGAGATGGGATGGTATTAAGTACATACTGAGATGGGTGATATTAAGTACAGACTAACATGGGTGATATTAAGTACAGACTGAGATGGGATGGTATTAAGTACAGACTGAGATGGGATGGTATTAAGTACAGGCTGAGATGGGTGGTATTAAGTACATACTGAGATGGGATGGTATTAAGTACAGACTGAGATGGGATGGTATTAAGTACATACTGAGATGGGTGATATTAAGTACAGACTTAGATGGGATGGTATTAAATACAGACTGAGATAGGATGATATTAAGTACATACTGAGAGTGGATGGTTTTAAGTACAGACTGAGATGGGATGGTATTAAGTATAATCCAAGACAGGGTGGTATTAAGTTTCATCCGAGAAAGGGTGGTATTAAGTCACTTCAGAGACAGGGTGGTATTTAGTATCATCCGAGACAAGGTGGAATCAAGTGTCGTCTGAGACAGGGTGGTATTAAGTATCATGTAAGACAGGGTGGTATTAACCATCATCTGAGACAGGGTGGTATTAAGTATCATCCGATACAGGGTGGTATTAAGTATCATGTAAGACAGGGTGGTATTAAGCATCATCTGAGACAGGGTGGTATTAAGTATCATCTGAGACAGGATGGTATTAAGTATCGTCTGAGACAGGATGGTAATAAGTATCATCCGAAACAGGGTGGTATGAAGCATATTCTGAGACAGGGTGGTATTTAGTTTCCTCTGAGACAGGGTGGTATTAAGTATCGTCTGAGACAGGGTGGTATGAAGTATATTCTGAGACAGGGTGGTATTGAGTTTCCTCTGAGACAGGGTGGTATTGAGTTTCCTCTGAGACAGGGTGGTATGAAGTATATTCTGAGACAGGGTGGTATTGAGTTTCCTCTGAGACAGGGTGGTATTGAGTTTCCTCTGAGACAGGGTGGCAATTACGTATCGTCTGAGACAGGATGGTAATGAGTATCATCCGAGACAGGGTGGTATAAACTATAAAGTATCGTCCAAGATAAGGTGGTATTAAGTATCATCCAAGATAGAGTGGTATTAAGTATCATCTGAGATAGGGTGGTATTACGTATCATCCACGATAGGGTGGTATTATGTATCATCCGGGACAGGGTGGTATTATGTATCATTCGAGACAGGGAGTTATTAAGAATCATTCGAGACAGGGTAGTATTAAGTATCATCTAAGACAGGGTGGTATTAAGCATCATCTGAGACAGGGTGGTATAAAGTATCATCCGATACAGGGTGGTATTAAGTATCGTCTAAGACAGGGTGGTATTAAGCATCATCCGAGACAGGGTGGTATTGAGTATCATCCGAGACAGGGTGGTAATAAGTATTGTCTGAGACAGGGTGGTATTACGTATCATCCAAGATAGGGTGGTATTACGTATCATCCGAGACAGGGTGGTATTAAGTATCGTCTGAGACAGGGTGCTATTAAGTATTGTCTGAGACAGGGTGGTATTAAGTATCGTCTGAGTCAGGGTGCTATTAAGTATTGTCTGAGACAGGGTGGTATTAAGTATCGTCTGAGTCAGGGTGGTAGTAAGTGTAGACTGTGATAGTGTGGTTTTATCTACAGACTGAGACAGGGTGGTATTAAGTATTGACAAAGACAGGGTAGTGTTAAACACAGACTGAAGCAGGAGTTTGTTTTGAACCTGGACCTATTCCTATCGTAAAATAGGGACTTTGTCCTAAAGTAGCTGATTTCCCTTGGAAGCCATATCTTCCCAACATCTTACAAAAAAAAAGAACTATATATTTTGACATTGACTTGTGAATAATAACATGGGTATTGAAAGACATGTTTATCTTAACAATGACTGGAATAGCATACTCTCTTACTTGAAAAGCTGACAGAATAAGAATAATGGCATTAAATATTGACAACTATAATGTTGCTGCAATATTGGTGACCGCTGCACAGAACCATAATCCACTCACTCACTCATACAAATAGCCTATTGAACACAGCAGACCACTGGGTGATGTTCTGGTGCCATTTTGCAAAGATCTATGACAAGAACAGTTCTGCTGCTATTGTGAGGTTGACATTGCACAATGATATAGTGAATGATCATATTTTATTTGAAGTTTACATGATTTACAGCTTTTCCATTGGACAAGAGGTCCGTCAAATGACCTTGAAACTAACGTTCATAAGTGTTTGAACGGCACATGTTAACTTTCAGTTTCATGAGACTGTATTCTTAAAATGACTTAAACTCCTGGGAATTCCCCGACACAAATAAATACAGAAGCACTGTCTTAGATCCTTTAGACCCTTTTAACTTTAACTTAGAGTTTTAGCATACATTGAGATAAGTCAGAGTGTTTGAATGTGGAGTGTTTTAATATTTAATATTTCGACTTCGTTTTAAACTTTTGACTCGATCCATGTCTAGACAGATATTGACAGTCTGTAGCAATCTATGAATTTACCTCGGTATCTGTTTGACACAACTTTAGAATCACCTTTCATTGATGGGCCAATTGCTCATTGTTTGATGATAACTACTCTTGTAATCACAACAGGTTTATTAAAGACACTGGAAATCTCTCACCTCACTTTTGTCGTGTCAGCCATTTTGAAGTCCTGTACTTGATGAAAGTTTATTACAATGCACTGTCATAGTGACTTACTGAGGTCATTCTTTAGAGACTTTTTTCATCTAATGATATTATTGGAATCTATTT